CAAATGAGTGCAGTCAATTATAAACTTTCATTTCAATTATAATTTTGGCTCATACAGAATTGGGATAAAATCTTTATCTTCTGTTCACGTCCCAAAGTTCAATAAAATCCACATGATAAAAAAACCAGTTGTTTCATCTTTTTTCAAGTTTACTAAATCTGATTTTCTTTTTAAGTTTTCTTTTAAATCTGTGAGTAACTCTGTTAAATGATCTTGAGCCCCATATTGACAAAAAGAACCGATTATAATCAAGCAGACATTAGAGGCTTAAGCTGTATTTTCACACAACAGAGAGTCTGCAGTGCTGGAAGGAGCATATTCCAACTCACAACAGACTTTGACCCGTCTATGTCAACCATACATAACAGAGGGGACAATCACGTACTGTAAGGGCTCAGCAGCAGCCCCTGCCTGCACTTCACCTTGGAGGTACGACCGCATCTTCTTGCGTTTCACCTCCCCTGTGCTCATGTTTCATACTCTGCCACAGCTTGGATAACAGTTTTTCCACCATCCTAAATACAATAGGAAGTTGCGGGGGTCATATGAGCCGATCAGTATGTTCTTGCTAACAAAGCCGCGTTGGGTGTAACGGCCAAGTTGACAAAGGGTCTGCAGTTGTTTTAGTTTACTGTAAAAACAAGACTGATATGAGGGGATTAGCCTACTGTTGGTACGGACACCCAGCTGCACGCACGCTCACGTAGACACAGGCATGTATACATGCGGCACATGTTCGATGGGCGACTCCTTATCAGCATCTTGTGCACATACGGTTACGTGTCGGGGCGCATTCACCCACTTGCCAAAGTCACATCTGTGAGAGAGGGTCATGATGCATAATAAGCACATTGTGCCACTTGATACGCTGCGCTGTGGAGACTCCACATTTAAAGAAGAAATAGAGTTCAGTATGAACTGATTAAAAATAAGAAAGTACAATTTAGAGAGCTACTTTTCTTTCGTTTGACCAACGATAAATGGCCACACCTGTCAGTTTACATCCATCTGCTCAAGTGGAAGTGCTGTCAGCTTTCCATTGTGTTACAGTCTGATGGTCTTGGCAGACCGAGGGGTAGGTGTAATGTTTTCTGGAAAAAGCAGCGCAAAACCATTCCTTCGTTTTTCCCTTATTGGGATATTTGGGAATTTTTCAAGTTGGTGAAGTTCCTGTATTCAATCATCACCTACAGATAACGTTCGTCTCGATCCAAAAAAAGTTTTCTACGATTGCAAAAGTCCAACAATTACAGTCTTGATTTCAGGCTAAACTGAAACGCAGCTGAGGAGTGATGCAAACCAACGTTTATACAAGCATGAATGCTCCGACGTCCTCTGCACTCTGCCTGTCTTCTGTGTTTCGTCTGTCAGCCCTGCTTTCATGTCTAAATGACTGTTTGAATAGTTGTTCCAGTAGTTCTGCAGTGATTCTGTCAACCTAAGTGAAACCGCTCCTGCTTACTGTCAGTGCTGGATGTGTGACGACAGCAACAGGATAAATAAACACGGCCATTAACCGTCCAAATGAGTATGTTGGGATGGCTGTTGTCGTATAGAGGGAGCAGCAGGAGATCAGGAAGGAGACAGGAAGAGAGAGTAACTCTGCCCAGGGGTCTGCGAGGATCCCTTAAACACACACACACACGCTCTTTGTCTTCCTCTCTAGTTCATTGTGTTTGACCCACTGCTGGATCACTCGCATCCTGTTGTCCAGTTTTCATGAGAAATAATAAGCTTTCCTCTTGATTCACATGTTTACATGACGGGGTTTTTCAGGCTAAGTTACACTCATCGCACACTAGGGATGGGTACCGGTATC